GCCGGCTACACTAACATTTATTGCCGGCTACACTAACATTTATTGCCCATCTCTAGTTATCCAGAAGGCAGTTAATAGTCAACCACATTGCTGTGCATCTGGAGTCACATGTAGGCATTAGCAAGTGATAGACAGAGCAAAGTGATCCCACAAACAAACAAAATCTAAGCTCTGCAGTCCTGCCACATCCATAGTGAATAACGAAACAACTCATTGGAGCAAGCTCTGCAAATATCCTCATCTTCAATGTTCAGCCAACAATGCAAAGAAACAAAAAAAAAAAAAAAGGCTGAAGCATTCACAGCACTCTTCAGCCAGAAGTGCCAAGAGGATGATCAATCTCAGCCTCCTCCCGTGATCCTTAGCATCATAGATGCCAGCATTCAGCCAATTCAATGCACTCCACGTGATATCATGAAATGGTTGGTGCCTCTGGATACTGCAAAGGCTGAGCCCTGACAACATTTCAGCAATAGTCCTGAAGACTTGTGCTCCAGAATTTGCACTCCCCTAGCCAAACTGTTGCAGTACAGCTAAAACACAGACATCCACCTCAAATGTGGAAAATTGTCCAGTTATGCCCTGTACATAAAAAGCAGGACAAATCCAAGCTGTCCAAATTACCACCCATCAGTCTACTCTTGATCAACAATAAAAGCGATGGCCTAGTGGTATTGTCGCTGGACTGTTAATTCAGAGACCCAAATAATGTTCTGGGGACCCAGGTTTGAATCCCACCATGGTGGATGGTGGGATTTTAATTTTAAAAAAATCTGGAGTTAAGAATTTAATGGTGATCATGAATCCATCCGATTCACTAATGCCCAACCTTACCTGGTCTGGCCTACATGTGACTCCAGACCCACTGCAATGTGGTTGACTCTGAACTGCCGTCTGGGCAATTAGGAATGGGCAATAAATGCCATCTAGCCAGCAATGCCCTCATCCTGTTAGTTAATTAACAATAAGAGATGGAGGATGTCATCAATAGTGCCATCAAACAGCACCTGCTCAGTGGCACCCTATTTGGGTTCTGCAAGGGCCACTCAGGCTTTAATGGGGCAAACTCTGCTGATTGGTGTCAAACCTGACACTAGAAGGATGGTCGTGATTGTTGGGCGTCAGTTATCTCAGCTCCAGGGCAGCTCTGCAGCAATTCCTCACGGTATTGTCTTTGGGCCAACCATCTTCACTGCTTTGATGACCGTCCCTCCATCATAAAAAAAGGTCAGAATTGGGACTGCAATGACTGCACAACATTCAGCACCATTCATGACTATTCATATTGAAGCAGTCCACATTCAGACGCAACAAGATCTGAATAATATCCAGGCTTGAGCCGACAAGCAGCAAGGAACATTCATGCCACAGATGCCAGGCAGTGACCATCTCCACTTAGATGTAATCTAGCCACCATTCTTTGGCATTCAAATAGTGTTATACTGTCACTGAATCCTCCACTATCAACATTCTAGGGGCTACCATTAACCGGAAACTCAACTGGACCTGCCATAATAATATAGTAGCCACAACAGCAGGTCAGGGGATAGGAATACTGTGGTGAGTAACTGACCTCATGTCTCCCCAATTTCCATCCACCGTCAACAAGGCACAAGCCAGGAGTATGACAGAATAGTCCCCATTTGTCTGGATGGGTGCAGCACAAGTCCATCCAGGACAAAACAGCCCACTTTATGAACACTGCATCCACTCCCTTCAAAGCTCAACAGCAGTGTGTACCATCTACAAGACGCACAGCAGAAATTCAAAGATTCTCAGATAGCACCTTACAAATCCGCAACCACTTCCGTCTCGAAGTACAAAGGCAGCAGATACACGGGAACACCAGCACCTTCAAGTTCCTGTCCAAGCCACTCACCATCCTAACTTGGAAGCGTAACATCATTCCTTCACGGTCACTGGGTCAAAATCCTAGCATTCCCTCCCCAAGGACATTGTGGGTCTACTTACAGCAAATGGACTGAAGCATTGAAAGTGGCAGCTCACCACCCACTTCAAGGGCAACTAGTCAGACCCAGTCAGCGACGCCCATATTCAATAAATGTACAAAACCAGACCCAGTAAGGACAGCAGGGGTCCTTCCTTAGAAGTCATTGGAGAACCAGATGGGTTTTTAAATGACAATTGACAACATCATCACAATTAGGCTAACTATTTTATTTCAGATTCTTTTAAAATAGATGGGAGGCTAAATAAGTGAAGACAGCATCTGGAATTAGAAGTTGTATATAAAGTTAGATGGGCAATATATGCTGGCCAGCCAGCAACACCTATGCCCATGAGACAATAAGACAACTTGACCTCAAAAAGTATGGTCAATTGTCATCACAAATACATCTGGCTCACTAATGTCCTCAATAGTAAAGAGGCCCAGCATATTAGTGCAAACGTTGAAATATTTGCATCTATATACAGCCACAAAAGTGTCAAATGAACAATCGATGGTAATTCTCTAGAGGTCTCCTGCATCACAGATGTCAGCTATTTGCTTTGCTCCTTATGATGATGAAATGATTGAAGGTTATGGACTATGACATTCTGGCAACAATACTTAAGTGTACACTGGAACTTGTCTCATTCTTGTTCAAGCTGTTCCAGTACATCTGCACCATTGGCACCTACTGGGCAAGGTTTGAAATGGCATGATTACATCTTGTACACAGAAGCAGGAAATTTCCAACCTGTTCAGTTACTACCCCATCAGCCTACTCAATCTCAGCGCTTTCCAGCAGCATTTGCCTTGTAACACCGTGCTTGCTGATGTCCAGTTTGGGTTCCATCAGGACCACTGAGGTCCTGACCTCATTACAGCCTTGGTTCAAATTGAACAAAAAGAAAAAAAGAAGCAGAGTGGAATTCTGGAGGCGAGACCAGACTTGGCTGCACTGGACAATGGCCACATTTAACAAAGTGTGGGTTACAAGGAACCTAGCAAAACTACAGCCAGTGGGAATCACGTGGGAGCCCAACTGACGAGGATGGCAAGAATCTACAGAGGGATATAGGTAGTTTAAATGAGTGGGCATAAAAATGTGGCAGGTGGAATATGATGTGGGAAAGTATGAAGTGATGTACTTCACAAGAATAGAACAGCTGAATGTTATTTAAATGTAGAAAAATCTGCACAGAAGGACTTGTACAAAATCCTAGCGTCCATGTTCAGCAGTTAACAAAGGAAGGCAAATGGACTGTTGTAATTTAAAAAAGGGGATGGAGTATAAAAAGTAAGTTTTCTAGAACTACCCAAGGCACTAGTTAGACCACAGCTGGAAGACTGAAAAGACTTCAGTCCTTTATCCAAGGGAAGATATACCAGCTTTGGAGACAGTTCAGAGAAGACTCACTAGGTTGATCCCAGGCATAAAGAACCATCTAATGAGGAGAAGTCAAGGAGGTTGCACCCATTTAGATCAAATGACTAAAAAGTAGTATGTGTTATTATGCCCCAAACCCTATCTGCTCTCAGGTGTAGGTAAAATATCCCCGGGCATTATTTTTGAAGAATAAAAGGGAGTTGACATAGTACAACATAGCAACAGGCCCTTCGGCCCACCATGCCTGTGCCAACCAGGATCCCATGTGATCTAATAAGTCTACCACACAAAACCTTGTTGAACATTTTGTTGACATCCATATATACAATGTCTACTGCCCTCTGCCTTCAGTCTTCTGTCATCTCTTCAAATAACTCAACTAACTTAGCAAGTCACAATTCCCATGCACAAGCCACATTAATCAGTCTTTGCCTTTTCAATACAGATAGCTGAGATTTCCTTACATATTTGCTTCTTAATTTCTCACTATTTGGGGGCCTATAGTACAATCCCAACAACTTGATCATCCTTTATTCTTATTTCTCAGTTCCACCCATATAATTTCACTGGATGATCTCCCAGGATTATCCTATGTACAGCCATAACAAAACACCACTCCCCCTTCCTCTCCTTCCCAAAGGATCTGTACCCTGGAACACAAAGCAGCAAGGTCTGTCCATCCCTGAGCCACATTTCTGCAATAGCTATGATTCCTCAATCCCATAGTCCCAATAATGCCTTAAGTCCGTCTGCCTTACATGTCAGGTCTCTTGCATTGAAATAATTCCATTTTATTTTTTCAGACTTACCTTGTTCTAACTTGCTTTTGCCTTGCTCCTCTTAATTGTACCAGCCTCAGCCTCTTGTTATTGCTTTGGTTCTCACCCCATCACCCTTTTACAGTTTAAAGCCTCCCAAGTAGCACTGGCCAATCTCCCCTCCAAGATATTGGTCACTTCCAATTCACAGGGAACCCATCCCTGTCATACATGTCATTTCTACCCCAAAAGATTCCAAATGATTAAAAAAACAAAAAAAAAGTCCTTGCCCTCTGCACAAGTTCCTCAGCCACACATTCATCAGCTCTATCCTCCTATTCCTACTCTTACTAGCACATGGCACCAGCAATAGTCCAGATATTACTAGAGGACTTGTTTTTAAAACCTCCTCCCTGGTTTCCTACATTCTCTCTGTAGAACTTCATCCCTTTCCCTACCTATGTCAATGGTACCAACATGCATAATTTCCTGCTGGTCACTCTCCCCTTTCAGAATATTCTGCACCCTCTGAGAGGTCCATGACTCTTGCACCAAGGAGGCAACACCATCTTGAGGACAGCCACAAAAACACCCATCTGTGCTCCAAACTAGAGGTCACAATCTATCACTTGGAACCTGACATACCCCTCATTGCAATACAGCCAGTGATGGTACCGGAAACCTTGCTGTCAGTGCTATACTCTTGTGAGGCCATTTCCCCTCCTACAGTATCCAAAATGGCAAAGCAGATAAACACGACAGAGGTGGATCAGAAGGCCAAATAACCATCTGGCAAAGGACGACCTGAAGCTACAGCTTGTTGACAGAATAAACAATTAAACCAAGCTGATGCAGATATGGGCTAAATGCAACTAGGTCAGATTGCAATGTCTGGTCAGCACAGATGAGTTGGACAAAAGTGTCTATTTCCATGCTGTATGACTATTAACTGTGTATATTGATTACAGATAACTGACAGAAACAGCCCTTACTACCTTCTCAGCGACACCTCTATCTTGGGCATAGTGAATGCAGGTGGGATCTGATTTCTCCAAACAACATTCCTGCCCTGCAGCAGTTCTCAGTTATGACATAGCCTAGTTTCCTCCAGCCAGCTGAAGTTAATCGATACTTTCCCACCTATTCTCCTTATGGCAGATCAAGAACCTAACCAGGCAGCCTGCTTACTTTGTACATGGCCTTCAACACTTCTTCCTTAGGCAATAGGTGCAGAGCAAAAAAAACAGCCAAGAGCAGTGCCCTCAGCCCTCCTCTGTGGCGGCACAGTGAGTGAGAGAAGGCCAGGGCAGCCTCATTTCCCTGTGCAATGCCCACCTTCCTGGTGGAGGGACAGCGAGGGAGGGAGAGACGGGGCAGCCCGACTTCCCCATGCAATGCCCTCCTCCCTGGGGAGAGGGTGAGCGAGGGAGGAAGGGAGAGAGAGACGGGGCAGCCCGATTTCCCCATGCAATGCCCTCCTCCCTGGGGGAGGAGGTGGCGGGGGGCGAGTGGGAGCACGACAGGGCAGCCTCATTTCCCTGTTGCAATGCCCACCTCCCTGCGGCGGTGGTGGGGAGAAGACAGTGAGTGAGTGAGGGTCCGGCTGCTGCGTGCTCACCTGATGAAGGTGGTCTTGCCGGTGGAGTACTGACCGACCAGCAGCAGCATGGGCTTGTTGTCGAAGTCCGCATTGTCCAGGGAGGGCGAGTGGAACTCGTGGAAGCGGTAATGTTCCTCCAGGGGAAGCAGCTTGGTTTTGTACAGCTTCTTCAGGCCGTCCGTCACCGTCTGAAAGACCTCCGGGTCCTTTTTGCCGCGGTCGTGCGTCCCCAGCCAGCTGAACATGCTGACAGAAAGCCCCGCTTTTTAATGTTTTTTTTTAAAAATAAAAACACACTTAAATCCCACACCAAATCAATAACGAACACTCCTGCTGAAGCCCAAACCGACTGGGTCCCTCTCAAAGTCTCCGCGAGCCCCGCTCCGCTTTAAAGAGCCGAGCTCGAGCCGTGCTCCCGCCCACCCCCGTGTCGTCAGTTCCGGTGACGTAAACCAACGGCACCACCCCGCGCGGAGATAGTAGGAACTGCCGCTGCTGGAGAATCTGAGGTAACAAGGTGCAAGAGCTGGATGAACACAGCGGGCCGAGCAGCGTCAGAGGAGCCGGGAGGCTGAGGGGAGACGTTGAAGCTTGCGAAGACTCCCCTCCCCCTGCCGCATCCCAAAACCAGTCCAGCTCGTCCCCGCCTCCCTAACCTGTTCTTCCTCCCACCTAAAGCCGCACCTCCATCTCCTACCGACCAACCTCATCCCGCCCCCTTGACCTGTCCGTCCTCCCTGGACTGACCTATCTCCTCCCTAACTCCCCACCTACACTCACCTTTACTGGCCCCATCCCCGCCTGTCTGTCTCCTCTTCTATCCGCCTCCCCCTCTCTCCCTATTTATTTCAGAACCCCCTTCCCCTCCCCCTTTTCTGAGGAAAGGTCTAGGCCCGAAACGTCAGCCTCTCTGCTCCTGTGATGCTGCTTCTCCCTGCGCGCGCGGGTTTAATTCACTTGAAGCCACCGTCTTCTCCTGCCAGCTCAGCTCACCCGAATAATGGGCAGATGTTAAACTAGATCGGGGAAAGTGTAGCGTTCCCTTAGATTTCTAAGATGGAATGAAGCCAAGCATGAGTCATGAGGTTCTTAGCTAGCAGTGCATTTGCAAATGTTGCCGCAAAACTGTCAGCTGTGTCACCTCAAGAAGCATTTCTTCTCCTGGTTGCACTCAGTCCACGCACGGTGAAGGAAAACAGTTTGCCAGCAGAGCCTGACCTGGCGCATGGCTTGCCTTGGAAAAGGCCCCAGTGCTGGAAATCCAGTTGTGGCGATAAAACTCTGCCTCTGACCAGAGGGAAGATGTTGCGAGGCATAGCTAACCGGGCAAGTTGTGGAAAACAGTGCGAGAGAACTCAGTAAGACTCACAGAGAGAACCTTATATGAAGCGAGCCAAAATTGAGACTTGAATGATTTCTGGTAAAATGCAGCCCTTGTAACTGTTCCAGACAACAGAGTCGGTGAATTGTAGGTTTTGAATGTCATGGTGCAAAATCTCCAGTGGGATTTGGTTTATCCAGGTACAGATGAAGTCATTTTCGGCCTTCTGACAATGTTCAGGATCAAAGATGGAAAGCATCATTTAAGGTTATTGCAGATTGCAAAGAAATCTTGAGCAATTCAATCAATTGACTGAACAGTGGCAGATGGAATTTAGTTTGGATAAATGTGAGATATTGCGTTTTGGTAAAACAAACAAATGCACAACTTACACAGTTAAAAGTAGGGCCTTGGTTAGTGTTGTAGAACAGAGAGACCTAAGGGTTCAGGTAAATAATTCTGATAATATCAATAATTCTTCGATGTTTGCTTCACATATAGATAGGATGGTTAAAGGCTCAGGCCTTTGAGGTAAAGGAGTTGGGATGTTATGTTGAGGTTGTACAGGACATTGGTGAGGCCTCTTCTGGAGAACTGTGCCCAGTTCTGGTCTCCCTGTTATAGGAAGGATATTATTAAACTGGAGAGGGTTCAGAAGAGTTTTACCAGAACGTTGCCGGGAATGGACGGTTTGAATTAATAAAGAGACGCTGGATAGGTTGGGAGTTTTTACACTGGAGTGTTGGAGGTTGAGAGGTGACCTTATAGAGGTTTATAAAATCATGAGAGGTATAAATAAGGTGAATGGCAGGTGTCTTTTCTCGAGGATGGGGCATTTCAAGATTGGGGGCATATTTTTAAAGTGAGAGGAGAAAGATTTTAAAAAGATGAAGGGCAACTTTTCTTACAGAGTGGTCCATGTGTGTAATGAAGTTCCAAGGGAAGTGGTGGAAATAGTTATAGTTACAACGTTTAAAAGACATTTAGATAAGTACATGAATAAAAATTGTTCGGAGGGATATGGACCAAGCACAGGCAAGAGGGACTTGTTTAGTTTGGGATTGTGGTCGGCATGGAATGATTGAACCAAAGGGTCTGTTTCCATGCGGTATGACTCTTTGACTTGGGGGATGGCTATGACTGACTACGGGTGTGGGAACCTATGTACGGAGTCAGAGAAGGAGGGAGCAAAGACAAAAACAAAAGGTAGAAAAGGGATTAAGAAAAGTGATGGGCAGAGAAACCAAGGACAAAGTTCAAAAAGGGCCATTGAAAAAAGTAAGAGAAAAACAATGTTAAGAAGACAAGCTTAAAGGCTTTGCGCCTTCATGTGCGGAGCACTTGCAATAAAGTGGATGAACAAATCGTGCATATAGATGTAGATGGGTACAATATAATTGGGATTACACGGACATGGCTGCAGGAACAAAGATGGAAACTGAATGCCCCAGAGTATTCAGTATTTAGGAGCGACGGGCAAAAAGGAAAAGGTGGTGGAGTGACATTGTTGGTCTGTATGTGTAGATTTGAGACATACCATGGTGCAAAAAACATTAGTGGGTGTCATATATAGACTCCAAACTGCAGTGGTGGTGTTGGGAATGCCATTAAACAGGAAATTAGAAATGCATATGATAAGGGAATATCCGTGTTCAAGGGTGATTTTAATCTGCACATAGAATGGGCAAATCAAATTAGGCACAATGCCATAGAGGAAGAATTCCTGGAGTGTATATGGAATGATTTTCTTGACCAATACGTGGAGGAACCAACTAGAGAGCAGACCATCTTAGACTGGGTACTGTGTAATGAGAAAGGAATCATTGCCAATGTAGTTGGGGAGACCCCTTGGGTATGAGCGACCATAACATAATTGAATTTTTTATCAAGATGGAGAGTGAGGTAGATGATTTGAAGACTAGGGTGCCGAATCTCAATAAAGGAAACTATGAAGATATGAGAAGTAAGTTGATCTTGATAGATTGTGAAGATTTACTTAAAGAGATGGTAGTGGATAGGCAATGGCAAACATTCAGGAACAGATGAGGGAACTGGTTTATTCCTGTCTGCCACAAAAGCAAAATGGGTAAGAAGGCCAATCAGAGATAGTAAGAACTGCCGATGCTGGAGTCAGAGACAACACAGTGTGGAGCTGGAGGAACACAGCAGGTCAGAGGAGCAGGAAAGCTGACGTTTTGGGTTGGGACCCTTTTTCAGAAATGGAGGAGGGGGGACAGGGAAGGGATCTCTGATTTAAATAGAGAGAGGAGGGGTGAGGCTGGGGAAGGTAGGCAGGATGGTGATAGGTGAGTGCAGGTAGGGAGTGGTGGGGATTGGTCAGTGAGGTGGGAGGAGCAGATAGGTGGGAGAGAAGATGGACAGGTTGTGTAAGGTCAAGGAGGCGGGGATGAGAGGGAGGGTTGGTCATGGGATGAGGCCGGGGGTGGGGAGATTTTGAAACTAGTAAAGTCCACATTGAGAGCATTGGGTTGTAGGCTCCCAAGGTGGAATATGAGGTGCTGCTCCTCCAGTTTCCGGGTGGCATCATTGTGCCACTGGAGGAGGCCCAGGATGGACATGTCATCCTGGGAGGGGGAGTTGAAGTGGTTCGTGACTGGAAGGTGTTGTCATTTGTTGCGAACAGAGCGCAGGTGCTGTACAAAGTGGTCTCCAAGCCTCCGCTCAGTCTCATCGATGTAGATGAGGCCACATCGGGAGCAGCGGATTCAGTAAACCACATTAGTGAAAGTGCAGGTGAACATCTGTCTGATGTGGAAAGTTTTTTTGGTTCCTTGGATGGAGGTGAGGGGGGAAGGTGTAGGGGCATGTGTAGCACTTCCTGTGGTTGCAGGGGAAGGTGCTAGGGGTGGTGGGGCTAGTGGGGAGTGTGGAGAGGACATGGGAATCGCGGAGAGAGTGGTCCCTACGGAAAGCAGATAGGGGTGGGGAGGGAAATATATCCTTGGTTATGGGGTCAGATTGCAGGTGGTGGAAGTGGCGGAGAATGATACGTTGAATCTGGAGGTTAGTGGGGTGATACGTGAGAACAATGGGGATTCTGTCTTTGTTTTTGTTGCAGGGAGGGGATGTGAGGGCAGAGGTGCGGGACACGCAAGAGATGCGGTCGAGAGCATTTTCGACCACTGAAGGGAGGAAGTTGCAGTCCTTGAAATAAGAGGACATCTGGGATGTTCGGAAGTGGAATGCCCCATCTTGGGAGCAGACGCGGCGGAGGAATTGGGAGTAGGGGATCTCATTTTTGCAGGAAGGTGGGTGTGAGGAGGTGTAATCCAGGTAGCTGTGGGAGTCAGTGGGCTTGAAATAGATACCAGTTTCGAGATAGTCACTGGAGATGGAGACAGAGAGGTCCAGGAAGGAGAGAGAGGTATCAGAGATGGTCCAGGTGAACTTGAGGTTAGGGCCAATTCATGGCTTACAAAGGAAATTTGAGATAGTATCCGATCCAAGGGAGAAGCACACAGATTGGCCAAGAAAAATAGTATGCCTGAGGATTGGGAGCAGTTTAGAATTCAGCAAAGAAGGACCAAGGGATTGAGTAAGAGGGGGAAAATATAGCACAAAGATAAGCTTGCAGGGAACATAAAGACTGACACTAAGAGTTCTATAGGTATGTGAAGAGAAAGAGATTAGTGAAGACTAATGTATGTCACCTCCAGACAGAAACAGGGGAATGTATAATAGGGGACAAAGAAATGGCTGAGCAACTGAATACATACCGTAATTCTGTCTTCACAAAAGAGGACACAAATCAGATACCAGAAATGTTGGAGAATGCAAGATTTAATGAGAGGGAAGAATAGGGGGATATCAATATTAGTAGAGAAATAGTGCTGGGAAATTTGGTAGGATTGAAGGCAGATAAATCCTCAGGGCATGATAATCTATGTCCCAGAGTACTTAAGGAAGTGTCTCTGGAAATACTGGATGCATTGGTGGTCATCTTCCAGGATTCTATAGACTCTGGAACAGACCCTCCAGATTGGAGGGTAGCTAATGTCACTCCAGTATTCAAAAAGGGAGGTGGCGA